CTGGGTAACATCCATGTGCAACCTATTCAAATAATTCTATGCCAGGATTGTGGGGGGAGGGAGGAGGGAGGAAAATGTGTATCAAATGTACATGTTAGAAATGTGCAATGTCAGGAGTGAACTTCCATTGCAGATATGCAGAAACTCCCTTTTTTACAACCCTGTGTAGTCCCTACTCGGGGTAGAGTCTTGGCGACTGGATGGAGCCAAGTATTTACTGGCCGGATGCTCTTCCTGATGCCTATGTGGAGTTCACAGTAGATATTCTTTTCTCTGCGCCCTAGGAGAGAAATATCTGCTGCTACCTAGGATTGAACTCTCAAGCTTTTGAGTGGGAGGCTTCACCACTAAGGCCACCACGATATGCAGCAACATCACATACAAATCTGAAAGGGGGAGGGCTTCAACTGGGATGCCACATCCACTACCTTGTAGATTTTGACTCTCAGAGGTCCATATCTCAATTTAGCTAAATGTTCAAAGCTTTTCTGGTGGTTACCCATCCAACTAACCAAGCCTCACCCTACTTAGCTCTTGTTAACTATCCTCCAGTCCTGGTAGTAACCCAGCTCAATCCTGCTTAGCTTCCAGCAAGATAAAATCATCTGACAGCTTCTCTCTACTAAAACCACCTGAAGTCACCAAAGTCTCTCAGGACGGTATTACATTATTATTATTATTATTAATTTTGATTTATATGCCGCCCTTCTCCAGAGACTCAGGGCGGCTTACAATGCATTAAGCAATAGCCTTCATACTTTTGTATATTTATACAAAGTCGGCTTATTGCCCCCACAAACTGGGTCCTCAATTTACCTACCTTAGAAAGGATGGAAGGCTGAGTCAACCTTGAGCCTGGGGAGATTCGAACTAGCAGTAATTGCAGGCAGCTGAATGATAATAACAGGCTATTAGTCTGCTGCGCCACCATTATAATGTTGTTCCTTGACATTATTAAGGATAAACTGATCCCAATGCACTTGATACCTAGCGACCTTCAAAGATCTACCAAGTTGTCTTTTTGCATTTATACCAGAAGTGTTTTTGCACAGCATAAACCCTTCAAGGGAACAACATTATTCCTGCAAAATGTGTTGCCGGAAATCATTGTTGATGGGTTCCTTGTCTTCTTCCTAGGCTGCCTGCATCAAACTTTCTGGAGGATGTTGGTATGAATGAAATCTGCCCCCAGATTTGTCGTCTTCAACTTACTGTGCTATTCAGGGGTCGCGGCTGCCTTTAAGAAATAGCAGGGTGTAAGATGTCAGTCCTGTATTCATGGCCCAAAGCACATCTATACTCTATGGAAATGAGTATCAGCCATTCGGGAAAAAGGCCATCTTCTGGGCGTGCAGAACGTGGCCTCATCAATCCTCAGCATCTGTAAATAGGATGAGGAAAGACCCCTCTCAATTAGGCTGAAACCTTGGAGAGACGTTGTTCGTGCCAAAAGCAGGACTTAGATGGATCTGTAGTCTCATTCACTTAGTCTGACTCCTTAAAAGAACTTCGGTTGGTCTGCAAAAAACAGGTCAGTGAAAACTCAATCATCCAGGCCAAAGGTGTCTAAAGCTGTAAAATTATACTTACATTGTTGTGTTGATGGTTTTTTAATTTGTTTGTATTTGTATTGTTTTTCTTTTTTTTCTGTGTACTTGTGTTTTTTTAAAGTTGGAAAATGTTTAATAAAAACTATTTTTGTAAAAAAAGGTGTCTAAAGGTTGAATCATGGCAACTGGACTAAACTGTTGGACTGTTAACCATATATTCGTCAAGAATAAAATATATTCATCAAGAATCATAATACACAACACTTAATGATAGTCATAGGATACTAATAAGCAATCAAATCATACTAGAAACCAATAAAAACAATATAACTTGTAAAGATACAAGCAACATGGATATAGCCATAAGTGGGAAGAGATAGGTACTTGTAAGGATGAGAAGAAGAATAGTAATACAGTCTTAGTAGTTAATTTGACAGTGTTGTGGGAATTAGTTGTTTAGCAGAGTGATGGCATTTGGAAAACTGTCCTTGTGTCTTGTTGTTCTGGTGTGCAGTGCTCTATAGCATCGTTTTGAGGGTAGGAGTTGAAACAATTTATGTCCAGGATTGTCAGTTTGGTCCGCTTGCCACGATTCAACCTTCAGACACAGATCTGCAGATACCCTAAATGTGATTCATAACACGCAAAGCAGCGTGTTAACAGCACCCTAAAGATCCTGGCTTGTCAGATGCTACATGTTTTCTGTCCAGCTCTACGGAGTTGAGAGTTGGCATTTTACAGAAAGCCACTTGAAAAGACTAGAAGCATTTGAAATGTGGATTTGCAGGCGACTGTTACGTATAAGCTGGGTTAACAAAATCACAAATGAGGAGGTGATAAGCTGCCTGGGAAAACCATCAAAACCATTAAAAAAAAGCAACAGTTAGAATATTTTCGACATGCAAGGACTTACAGACATGGCTTTTTAAACAATTCATCTGATCTGGGGGAGGGGGTTTATTTGGTTTTAATATGGGTTTTAAATTGTGGGATTTTAATTATGCTAAATTAATCATATTTTTTTAATTGTTCTTTGGTTTTTAACCTTTTGTGAGCTGCCCCGAGTCCTTCGGGAGAAGGGCGGCATATAAATTTAACTAACTAACTAACTAACTAACTAACTAACTAACTAACTAACTAACTAAATAAATAAATAAATAAATAAATAAATATGATGTGACACCCAGAAAAATACGACATCCTTCACTTAACCCTCCAGGGAGAGATTGAAGGCAAACGAGGTCTAGACAGAGGAAGAACATCATGGCTTCAAAACCTAAGGGACCGGTTTGGACAAAACTTAACGGCACTTTTTCGTGCGGCTATTGGTAAAAATAGAACTGCCAACATGATCGCCAACATGCGAGGATGGATATGGCACATCAAGAAGAAGAAAGATCCTTGGATCTGCCCATGAAGTTTGAGAAAAAACTTTTTTTTAACCCTTTGAAAACCTTTCATTACCCAAATTAGGTAACACCATCAGGGCTTAGTTTGGGTCTGCAAGAAAACAACCAACTTCAGAGAGCACCAAGGACCTCTGAGGACTTTCATCCTGCTGACCCTTTGCCTACGTTAACCAGAGAACTTGCTAAATCAAAGCTGGTTCATTTAAATTTAATCAAGGGAGATGACCAAGCGCCTCTTAATTCAATTCCAGTCTTCTGCTGTCCCTGGAATTCAATTATTGCCAGAGGTGCACAAGCTAGCCAAGATTTTTTTGTCAATTTTTGCTGGCTTTGTTCCCAGCTTCCCTTACCTGGGCTGCCTTCCAGAATGACAGGAAAGTGAAATGAATGTCAAGCCAAGGTATCAAAAATATGCATCACAAAAATTCTGGGCACCTCTGAAACATTGAGAGGAATGCTGAATGACACCCCCACCCCACCCCCCAAAATAGTGCCATCATCTCTGGAACTCAAGAGAGAAAAGGGTTGGCAGAAAAGTATACAGCCCTCAGTGGTCAGAGATGTACTTTCTATATCACTCTTTTCCCTGCTAGCACTGATGATGTTACCTAGTTGGGTAATGAAACGTCTGCAAGAAAATAAGCAAGCTTAGAGAGCACCACGGACCCAATAAATCATTTACCATACCCCAAATAACCCGAAATAAGAAGAAAATGCTTTAAAAAAACAAACAAACAAACCCACATATACAAAGAAAAGATGGGATTACAATTCTACCTAATGAAGCTTTTCTCAGGAACTGGGTCATCTGATTATTGGCCCATCCAGAAGTTCTATCCCTGGCATAGGATGGTGGACCATGTCTGTACTAAACCTGGCACCCACGTCGGGTCTATGACAACTTGCCACAGCCAACTTGCTGCAGCCAACTCACCACAGCCGACTCACCATGGCCAACACACCACAGCCACCTCATCATGGCCAAGTCTCCATGGCCAACTCACCACAGTCAACTCACCATGGCCAACTCACCATGGCCAACTCACCACGGCCAACTGAATGCAGCCAACTTACCATGGCCAACTCACCATGGCCAGGTCACCATGGCCAGGTCATCATGGTCAACTCACCACGGCCAACTCACCATGGCCAAGTCACCATGGCCAGGTCATCACAGTCAACTCACCATGGCCAACTCACCATGGCCAACTCACCAGAGCCAACTCACTATGGCCAGGTCACCATAGTCAACTCACCATGGCCAACTTGTCACAGCCAACTGAGTGCAGTCAACTCACTATGGTCAATTCACCATGGCTAACTCACCATGGCCAACTCATCATGGCCAACTCATCACAGCCAACTGAGTGCAGCCAACTCGCCATGGCCAATTCACCATGGCCACTCACCACAGCCAACTCACCATGGCCAACTCACCATGGCCAACTCACCATGGCCAACACCTTCCTTAGGGTCATGTGAAAAAATAAAGTGGAACAACAACTGATGACCTCATTTTACCGGTCCACAATAGAAAATGTCCTCACACCCATGGTGTGATATGCTGGCTTGACAGCCGCGAATAGAAAGACGTTACAGAGGGTGGGGAGCACAGCATAAAACATCGTGGGCTGTCTCCCTGATACCACTAGATGAGCTCGCTAGGCCACGCCCACCAAGCCACACCCTACCCACCAAGCCCCGCCCATAGAGCCGGCAGTAAAATAATTTGGATTTCACCACTGGGTACAGCCTTAAAGTTGCCAAAATTGGAGACCCTCCCTGGGCTAGGACTGAATTCAACCGATGGTTAGTCGTCCCCGTACATTCTGCTGGGAGTTGGGAACGGGAGGCAGCGCCCAGGAGACCCTTCCCCATTCATTCCAGCTATAAAAAGCAACCAAGAAGGCGGAATGCAGCTCGCCTTGCCCCCCACCCACCCCTACCCAGCCTCCCGGCCGGGCCAGCCAATAGGCACCGCGCAAGGGGCGTGCGCAAAGCTGCGCTCAAAAGCGCACAGCTTCAGCTTTTCTTTGGCGTTAACCTGTAGGTGCGAGCCGGATCGGTTGCGCGCACGATTGCTCGGGACGGGGATCCGAACCAGCCCGGGGGGAGAAAAAAAAACCAAAAAAACCAAAAAGCGAGGATGCTGCGCGTGCGGTGCCTGCGCGGAGGCAGTCGAGGGGCCGAAGCCGTGCATTACATTGGGTCGAGGGTAAGCGCCCCTTGCAGCCGGCTGGGAAAGAAAGCACCCCGGTCCCGTTCACACAACCCGCTGAATCCGGTGGCAGGAAGGAAACTTGAAGCCGCTTTCTGAATTCGCACAGCTCCTTGAAAAGTTGCAGCTCATTCCAGCTGAGCACGTGTGGGTTGAATAGTCAAACTCTTGCTGGGGCTTGTCCAGACCTGATTCAGCGCGTTGGGTGCCAACAAACCAAGTTTAGGATAGTTTGGATAGCAAGCGGGAGAGGCGCGTCGAGGATCGGAACCCAGAGCGCTTGTTATTCAGGCGAGGGTAGGAGGGGGAGCGATCCTAGGTAGCGCGATCCAAGCAATGCCAGCCATCGCTCGTGAGGGTGCGCCGCGGAAACCTCCTCCACGCGCAAAGTCAGGGGAGCGCAGGGAATTGGCGTTGGGTGGGATTTTGAGGAGGTGCGTCTGGAAGGCGAGATCCTACTTCCCGTGGATTCCCCTGGGAGTTTAAAAAAACCAAAATAAAACCAAACGAAAAAACGAGATGAAAAGATAGTCAGACTCAGGAAGAGACTAGATTGCGCAGAAATGGATAGATTGGCATTGAAAAAATTAAACAGAAAGAAGAGGTAGAAATATTATTAAACATGGAATCTTATTTTAGCCAGGGTTGGAAAAAAGGAAGGAAGGAGATTAAGAATGTACATTTGTATTGTTTAAGCAAATTAAATACCCAGATCATATGATGTTTATTAAGCGTTAAGAAATGTATTTAATAGAAAATCAATTTAAAGAGAAAGAAAAAGAAAAACCTCGGAGCAAACTTTCAAAGCTTGCCTTTGGGGTGGGGGGGGGGGGGGGGGGGGGTTTCTTTGCATGGAAGGTCAATTTTGATCCAACCAATTTGCAAAAGTTTGGAACTTTGGAAGGAAAAGTTCAGATAGGGATTTTATTTTATGTTATTTTTTTAAAAAATGTGGCGCTTTTTGGCAATCAAATTTAAATGTCCTTGAAATTCCTGTCTTCCCTTTTCTCTCCAAAGAGCTTCAACTCCCATCTGTCCGTATCTTTGATCCCTTTTGGGTTAATTTTGGTTAAATCCTTCCTTCCATTCCTACAAGGGAAATAGTTGTGAAAATTAACTATAACTAAGCTCCCTGTTGAACTAGGTGGCTCAGTGGCTAAGACACTGAGCTTGTCGATCAGAAAGGTCGCCAGTTCGGCGGTTCGAATCCCTAGTACAGGTCTCCTGAGTGAGCAGGTGGTTGGACTAAATGACCTCCAAGGTCCCTCCTAACTCTGTTACTGTTTACTGTAAGTAACTGTTCACTTGCATCAAATCTGATCTGTTCCATAGGCTCTCTGGCTTAAAGTCTGTAATAAAAGTTTTGATTTTGACTTGTTCCTTGGGAAAAAAGATTTCACTCACCTTCCCCACCCCCAATCCCTTGAACCTTGAAGTCCAGAGTCTAAATTTACATATGTCATTTAGCTGCCTATCTCTGCTGTCCTGGGCAAATTTGGGGACAGTGAGTGTTTCTGTGCCAAAGTTTAAATCTCAGGACGGAGGTGTCAACAGACTCATTCTTTATATGCTCTGCGAACGAACAGAGAGGGGGCTTGGTGTCATGGTTAACCAGGAGATAGTGAATTCTAGTTCCATTTTAGGCACAAAGCCAACTGGGTGACCTTAGGCCATTCTCTTCCCTCTCAGCCCTGGGAAAGAGGCAATGGCAAATCATTTCTGAAATCTTGGCGAGAAAACTTACCCAGACAAAGGCCAAGGAGTCAACCAAGACTTAAACATGCAGTTGTGGACTTACGCACACACAGAGAAGGAGATGCTGGGCATTTGAAAAGCCCTCTGCTCGAAATGGCATTCAAATGCCATTTGAAGCTTTATATAAAGCCTTTAGTAAGTTCACACCTAGAATCCTGCATCCAGTTTTGGTCACCACACTATAAAAAAGATGTTGAGACTCTACAAAAAGTGCAGAGAAGAGCAACCAGGATGATTAGGGGAATGGAGGCTAAAACATTTGACAAACGGTTGCAGGAACTGGGCATGGAAAGTCTAGTGAAGAGAAGGACCAGGGAAGACAGGATAGCGGTGTTTCAATACTTGAGGAGCTGCCACAGAGAGGAAGGGGTCAAGCTATTTTCCAAAGCACCTGAAGGCCAGACAAGGAACCATGGGTGGAAACTGATCAAGTAGAGATTCAACCTGGAAATAAGGAGAAATTTTCTGACACTGAGAACAATCAACCCTTGGAACAAAAGTTGCCTTCAGAAATTGTGGGAGCTTCATCACTGGAGGCTTTCAAGAAGAGACTGGACTGCCATCTGTCAGAAATGGTGTAGGGTCTCCTGCTTAGGTGGGGGGCTGGAGTAGATGACTTACAAAGTCCCTTCCAACTCTGATAATCTGTTAAAACAAATCAGGTATTTCAGAATTGGGGAGGGCAAATCTAGTCCATCGTCATCTGTTCATTCTGCAAACTCAGTAGTGCGAGAAAAAATGGACAAGGAAACTTCTGCTTTGTGAAGAGCCCATAGAGATTTTTCAAGTGAAGGAAAAAATCAAGTTCACTGCGCAGGCAGGAAGATAGCAGTGGAAAGACAGGAAAAATGGCATCACTTGGTCTCCCATTTCCTTTCTTGTCTTGACATGGGATTCTTCATTCCTAGAGAGGCAGCTTCCAGGGTTTCTGAGCTGGATAAAATATGCTGAACTTGGATAGATGGTTATTAGCTGATGTGCTAACCGCCAGCTGAGATTTCTCACCTCACCTGTGTACTCCCAAAACTGTGACTTTGCAGGAAGAGATGCACGTTAGTCTAGCGGAGCACCAAAAACCAGAAGTCTGGAAGATACTTTATTTATTTATTTATTGGTTTGATTTATATGCCGCCCTTCTCTGGAGACTCAGGGCGGCTTACAATGCGTTAAGCAATAGCCTTCATACTTTTGTATATACCTGCTTAGTACGGCTTTCGGGAGACACCTAAGCAGTGTTCTTTTTTATACAAAGTCAGCTTATTGCCCCCACAATCCGGGTCCTCATTTTACCTACCTCGAAAGGATGGAAGGCTGAGTCAACCTTGAGCCTGGTGAGATTTGAACTTGCAGTAATTGCAGGCAGCTGGTGCTACTTAACAGCACTTTAGTCTGCTGCACCACCAAGGCTCTGAAAAATATGTGAAAAATCAGAGATTTTATTCAAAGGCACAAGATTTCCTGAGATGCAACTCCAACGTAGGATTCAATGGGGATGCTTGGAGGAAGGGCGGGAGGAAAGACAAGCTGGGCTGTGTAAATGACACACGAGATTTGTGAGGGGCATGGGAATTGCACACAACTGGAACCGTAAAGCCAGAAAATTCCTGGCTGCATCTGTAAGGAACTTTCTGTCCACGGAGTTGGCAGGAGACCATGGTCTGTTTTCTCAAGAATCTCACTTCTTGGTGTCAGAATGGAGGGTGGGGAGCGACAAATTGTGTATCTGAGTCCACATAAATGTGAGACGTAAATATCATGGTATCACCCTAGAAAACGGGATTAAGGTACTTTCATCCGTGCATTGCTAGTGCAAAGGGCTGGGCTACAGTATATAGTATAGAGTCCCCCTGGGGAGAAGGGCGGTATATAAGTTAAATTAATAAATTAATTAATAAATATAGCTGCCAAAAAAGCCAACACAGTTCTTAGGCTGCATAAACAGAGGGATAGAATCAAGATCACGTGAAGTCTTAACACCACTTTATAATGCCTTAGTAAGGCCGCACTTGGAATACTGAATCCAATTTTGGTCGCCACAATGTAAAAAAGATGTGGAGACTCTAGAAAGAGTGCAGAGAAGAGCAACAAAGACGATTAGGGGACTGGAGGCTAAAACATATGAAGAACGGTTGCAGGAACTGGGTATGTCTAGTTTGATGAAGAGAAGGACTAGGGGGGACATGATAGTAGTGTTCCAATATGTCAGGGGTTGCCACAAAGAAGAGGGAGTCAAGCTATTCTCCAAAGCACCTGAGGGTAGGACAAGAAGCAATGGGTGGAAACTAAACAAGGAAAGAAGCAACTTAGAACTAAGGAGAAATTTCCTGACAATGAGAATAATTAATCAGTGGAACGACTTGCCTCCAGAAGTTGTAAATGCTCCAACACTGGAAGTTTTTAAGATGTTGGATAACCATTTGCCTTAAGTGGTGTAGGGTTTCCTTCCTAAGAAGGGGGTTGGATTAGAAGACCTCCAAGGTCCCTTCCAACTCTGTTATTATATTATATTGTGACATTATGATCCATACCATTTTTTTCATCAATGTGGATTGCACTGGACCTGTTCATTCAGATGGTTTCAGTCCTCCTCTGGGTTTCTGTAGATCTAGCTGTCTTTTTCCTTCAAGTCAGACCTAACCTGCCTGAGATGGACAAACTCTAAAAAAACCGAGCTTGAGATCTTATGAATCTTCCCTTTCCGTGCTCCAACATGCCTTCTCTGGGGAGGAGGGGCTCTTCCCCCCTCTCCAACCTTCTGCTGACCCAGCACACATGCCTATCCTCCCATTTTGGGCTGGGAATGCTGATCATTTGCACTCTGCAAGAAGATAGGGCATACTTGCTCCTAGGCAACTTGTCAGTCTAGTTTTTCCCAACAGCTGGTAGGGAACAAGTGCAGCCTCTTCTACTAAGGGGGTTTGCCTTGAGTAGAAGAACTTACTAAAAGTTGAATCTCTTCTTCTTGCAACACTGGAATGTTTGAAGCAGGGGTGAAATTCAAAAAATTTCCCTACCAGTTCTGTGGGCATGGCTTGGTGGGTGTGGCAGGGGGAGGATACTGCAAAATATTCATTCCCTCCCCACTCCTGGGGGAAGGATATTGAAAAATCTCCATTCCCACTCCACTCGGGGGCCAGCCAGAGGTAATATCTGCCGGTTCTCCGAACTACTCAAATTTTCTGCTACTGGTTCTCCAAACTGCTCAAAATTTCTGCTACTGGTTCTCCAAATTACTCAAAATTTCTGCTACTGGTTCTCCAAATTACTCAAAATTTCTGCTTCTGGTTCTCCAAACTACTCAAAATTTCCGCTACTGATTCTCCAAACTACTCAAAATTTCTGCTACTGGTTCTCGAAACTACTCAAAATTTCTGCTACTGGTTCTCTGAATTACTCAAAATTTTCGCTACCAGTTCTCGAAACTACTCAAAATTTCCGCTACCAGTTCTCCAAACTACTCAAAATTTCCGCTGCTGGTTCTCCGAACTACTCAAAATTTCCACTACCAGTTCTCCAGAACCTGTCAGAACCTGCTGGATTTCACCCCTAGTTTGAAGGTGGGGAAGCCAGTGATATCCCAACATGGACGGATGCTGGGTTGATGTAGAAAGTTAGGCTGGCTGATTCAACACCGTGCTTTCGGTTGCTCTTTGTAACCCGGTTCCCAGACTTTGCTAAGCCATGGTTTGTTTAAGTGACTGGAAGGGGAGAGCGAGGAATCGGGCCAGCCAGTGGTTGGTTCAGCCGATAGGGAGCCACAGCAGGAGGATGAAAGAGCCGCATATGGCTCCAGAGCCGCAGCTTGCTGACTCCCAATCTAGTCCAACCCCCTGCCCAAGCAGGAAAGACCCTACACCCATGATGGCAAACCTATGGCACACGTGCCAAAGGTGGCACGTAGACCCCTCTCTGTAGGCACGCGTGCCTTGCCAGCTGCTCTTCTGGTTTTTGGAGCTGGCCAGTTGGTCTTCGCGGGTGCCGGAGAGCCAGAAAACGGCCTGAAAATGGCCAAAAAACAGGATGTTTTTTGGGCCATTTTCAGGCCGTTTTCAGGCTGTTTTCGGGTCATTTTTTGGGCCAGAAACGGCCTGAAAATGGCCTGAAAACAGCCAAAAAATGGCCAAAAACCAGGCATGTGTGTGCTGGCCAGTTGGTCTTCAGGTTTACAGTGCTCCGGTTTGGGCACTCGGTGCTGAAAAGGTTCGCCATCACTGCCCTACCCCGTTTCTGACAAATGGCAGTCCAATCATTGTTTCCCTGGAACCGAAAACCTTATGATAGGCCCCATCTAGTCACACCGCTACAATTTCCCCCCCCCCCACTTCTGATGGTTGTTTTTGCTTTTCAATTCAAGTTTGGAAGAGTCGTCACAGGATGGGTGCAGCGAACTTTCCAGAGCACCCAGGCTGCAGCGGCCTCCAATGCTCCCTGCCCTCCTGTTGCTGCTGCTGCTGCTGAACCCTCCAAAGTTCCTGACCCTAGTCCAGAAAATTGTCCTGTCTCTGCCTACAATGAATGGGACCCACTGGAAGAAGTCATTGTGGGGAGAGCTGAAAACGCCCGTGTTCCTCCTTTCACAGTGGAGGTGAAGGTGAGTCTTTACTCTCTGAAGTTTCCTTAATTCTAAGTTGGATCTCTTTAATGATCTTCCACCTGTTGCTTCTTGTCCTGCTTTCTGGTTTCGAAGAAGGAAGGAAAACTGGCGTTTTCTGCCCTTGACTTGTTCATAAGATAGAAGATAAGTAAAGTTTTAGACTCTTATGTGAGGTTTTTTTTTTTTTTTTAATTTGATTTATATGCCGCCCTTCTCCGGAGACTCAGGGCGGCTTACAATGCGCTAAGCAATAGCCTTCATCCTTTTGTATATTTATACAAAGTCAGCTTATTACATGGATAAGAGAAATAACAGATTATGAAATTGAATTAGAACCTGAGATTTTTCTATTAGGCATGATTAAAAAGAACATCCGAAATGACATAAAATACCTAACGCTTCATATAATCACAGCGGCTAGATTAGCGCTAGCACAATTTTGGAAAAGCGACCGACTGCCAACTGACCAGGAACTAATACAAAAAATATACACATGCGCAGAAATGGACAAACTAACTTTAGAGTTACAGGATAAGGAGGACTCAAAATATTATGCAATATGGAATAGATGGTACCAATGGATAAACCAGAGGAAAGGAAATGGGTAGAGATGAAATTTAGAAGAAATTAATATAATTAAAAACAGCACTGTCAGAAGGATAGAATATGAAATATGTTACTGTATGTTTGTATATATGTATGTATATAGAATAACGGAAATCAGTCAATAGGTGAAGTTTATGTACTGTATATGTAAATTTATTTCTTGATTGAGAGAAACTTGTATGTTTTAAATGTTTTTTAACAATCAATGAAGTTTTGTTTTAAAATTAAAAAAGAAGAAAGGATAGAAGGCTGAGTCAACCTTGAGCCTGGCGAGATTCGAACCTGCAGTAATTGCAGGCAACTGGTCTTAATAACAGGGTGCTTTAGACCACTGTACTACCAAGGCTCCAGACTATTCATTTTTTGCAGCAAAAGCAATTATTGCGCAGAGGGATGATTGCCTGAGCGTTCATGGATCCAAGTCCACAGAGGGCATGGATTGTGGAAGCTGAAGTCATCACCTTTGCAAGCGTGGCCAACCCTGCTGGATGCAGCGATGGTCTCAGATGACATTTAGAAGAGCCGAAAACAAATGAACGAAAACACAACTTGAAAGTTGCTGAGCTGGCTGTTTGGGATCCAGTCCGCATGACACCCAACTTATCTCGGAAGCTTTAGGACAATTACTTGTTGCTGGAAAATCTGTCCTGGCCCTTGAACCATACACGTGATTGAAACTGCTACTGCGGTAATTCCAGCAGCACAAATCTCACAGCCTGAGAGTCAACAACGATGGAGGGCATGGAGTTGAGAGACCTGTGGGAAGTGTCTTCAGGAGCAGGAACGGCCTGTTCTCTAGTCTTTATAACTGTTTCTAGGAAAGTCTTCTAAGGAAAGACTCCTGGCTCCACTGCTGTGTATCTTCTTGTACCTTCTTCTGGCCTGACCATTAGTGATCCCTCTTATCACCTGCCTTGTTCTGTCTGGATGAAATTGAACAGAATTAGTTGTGACCAGGGGTGGGCTTCACAAATTTTAGCAAGGGGTTCTCTGCCCGGTTACTGGGTGGGTGTGGCCATGGTGGGCATGGCCTAGTCTGCCTCCTGCATCATTGGGGGGGCGTGTTTTTGTCCTCCCCAGGCTCCAGAAGCTTTCTTCAAGCCTCCGGGAGGGTGAAAATGGCCGCCTCAGGCTCCGGAGGCCCTCTGGAGGCTGGAAACAGGCCCGTTTCCAGCCTTCCTGAACTTCCGGTAGGCCCGTTTTTCTCCCTCCCTGAGCCTCTGTGCGCGCCCTGCACTTAACCTGCATCCAAAACAGGCTGTGTGGGGACTCCTGGGAGAGGCAGAGTGGGGTGGGCCATGCCATCCATGAGTGGGATTTAGGGGTTCTCCAAACTGCACAGAATCTTAGCTAGAGGTTCTCCCGAACCCTTTCGAACCCCCAGCAGCCCACCTCTGGTTGTGACACTAGAAGAAGCACCTCTGCCTTGTATCAGTGGGAATGGAGGGATTCCCCCTGTTGCGATTGTGGTGCCGATATACAAAATATTAAACATATCCTTCCAAGGTCGGTAAAATGAGGGCCCAGATTGTTGGAGGCAATAAGTTGACTCTGTAAACCATTTAGAGAGGGCTGCAAAAGCACTGTGAAGTGGCATATAAATCTAAGGGCTATTGCTATTGCTATTCTGGTTTTTGCATCTTGTGTGAATTTAGTCTATTGGCTTTAATGCATCATGCAAAACAGATTAAGGGTTAATTTAATAATTAGGAAGCATGTTGGTCAGGAATTGTGGGAGACAGTGTAGCATGAGGGTTAAGGTGTTCTATTGGGATTGGAGATCCAGGTTTAGGTTTCAAGAGATGTGGTGGCACAGTGGTTAGAATGCAGTACTGCAGGTCGCTTCTGTTGGCTGCTGGCTGCCGGCTGCCGGCTGCCTGCAATTTGGCAGTTCGAATCTCACCAGGCTCAAGGTTAACTCAGCTTTCCATCCTTCCGAGGTCGGTAAAATGAGGAGCCAGATTGTTGGGCGCAAATATGCTGACTGTGTAAACCGCTTAGAGAGGCCTGTAAAGCATTGTGAAGCGGTATATAAGCCTAAGTGCTATTGCTATTAATGTTTGTGAACCCAGACGTGATTTACTCAACAAACCATAACAAAGTGTGTTATGGAATTTCCCCTTTTTAGGGGAGTCGGTGATTCCTCTCTGCCAGAACAGAGAAATCTTCTTTTGTTCATCTGTTGGAAAAACCATTTGCGCAATTGTCTGTAAATAGTTTGTTTCAGACCGACTTCGTGGTTTTTCTTTCTTTTTTGTTGTTTCCACAGGCTAATACCTATGATAAGTACTGGGAATTTTATCAGAAGTACGGAGGCCAGAGTTTTCCTGAGGATTATATCAAGAAAGCAATCGCTGAGATTGAAGAAATGTGCAATATTTTGAAGATGGAGGGAGTGATTGTGAAGAGGCCAGAAATCCTCAACTGGTCAACCCGATATAAAACACCTGATTTTGAATCTACTGGTACTTTTTACTGAATAGCTTTCAACAAAGTTTAGTGCTTTACACCTGTGCATTTTCTGTAGTCTAGTTACTTATTGATTATCGGGGCACTTTATTTATTATCTATATATATAAAAGCGAAAACCACTCATGCATTAATCACAAAATCTCCAGAACCGTAAAGCCTACAAACTTGAAATTTGCCACGTATGTTCCTCTTGGCTTCTAGGTGCTCATTAAGAAAGGATTTTTTGAAATGACCATCAGAGCATTAATATTTCCTATATTATTATTAACACGCTCTGCCCCCTCCCCACCTGAAAAGAAACCTGTTCCAAATGCAAAACACAAGCAGAGGAGAGGAGTTTCACTTTCAGTTTTACTTTCACAGCAGCAAGCAGCTTTATTATAGAACAGTTGAGCTAAGCCACGCCCATCCTCCTTCCTGTCTCCTCCTTGTTCACGCAGCAAATACTGTTTGAGTTTCCAAACACCCCTCAACTCTCTCATACACTGACAGGACGCTAGCCAGATGAATACCAATGAATGTTGCAAGCTGGGACATTCTACTCCCCCTTCCCCTCTGTTCCAACTGCCAGTTGCATTATATTAACACACACTGATGCTACGGAGTTACACATTCTACATTAAGTTTCAAGCTGCAAGTATCTATTTATCAAGCCCGAGCACATAATTTTGTAGCAAAGCACGGGCGTCCAGCTGGTTTTAAATATTGGATCGCAAAGCCACCCATTATGTTCCAGAAACACAATTTTTACTGCCGGTAGTCCTCCACATATGACCACAATTGAGCCCCAAATCTCTGTTGCTAAGCGAGACTATTTTTGCCTCATTTTATGATCTTTTCTTGCCGTAGTTTTTAAGTGGATCACTGCAGTTGTTACGTTAGTCACATGGTTGTTTAGTGAATCTGACTTCCCCCATTGACTTTGCTTGTCAGAAGGTCGCAAAAGGGAATCACATGATCCCGGAACACTGCAACTGTCATGAGTACATGCCAGTTGCCAAGCCTCTGAATTTTGATCATGTGGCCACGGTAATGTTGCAACGCTCGGAAGTGTGAAAAATGGTCATCAATCACTTTTTTTCCAGTGCCATTGTAATTGCAAACGGTCACTAAATGAACTATAGTAAGCCAAAGATTACCTGTATTTAAAAAGTCATTATTTTTTTTTTAAAAAAATGAAAACAGCAAGGGGAATTATAACAGATAAGGAAAATTATTTTAAAAAATTAAATATTGAATTAATTATTTAATTATTATTAAAGGGACGTGGTGGCTCAGTGGCTAAGACGCTGAGCTTGTCAATCGAAAGGATGGCAGTTCAGCGGTTCGAATCCCTAGTGCCGCGTAATGGGATGAGCTCCCATTATTTGCCACAGCTTCTGCCAACCTAGCAGTTCGAAAGCACGTAAAAAATGCAACTAGAAAAATAGGGACCACCTTTGGTGGGAAGGTAACAGCGTTCCGTGCGCCTTTGGCGTTTAGTCATGCCGGCCACATTACCACGGAGACGTCTTCGGACAGCGCTGGCTCTTCGGCTTTGAAACAGAGATGAGCACCGCCCCCTAGAGTCGGGAACGACTAGCACATATGTGCGACGGGAACCTTTACCTTTAAGGAAAATTATTAGCAAGGAGGAATGTTAGGAGAATAGCACAGGAAGGAGAAAGGGAAGGCCAAATTTAAAAAAAAAACATTAAATTTTAAAACAAAATGAAAAAAACAAAACAATTTTACAATTTTACAGTTTGTTTACAATTATTATGGAGTTGATAAAAACAGGATGGAAGTATTGTAGGGTAACCAGGGGGTCTAGGAACAAGTCTGACTTCTCACCCCGTTCTTTGAAGGCCAGTTTACCTGCTAAATTGATGCTTATCAATTTCACGCACATACCTGTGTGATTGAATGTATAAATTGTGGCACTTTCTTTTCTAAAGCACACAGAGCACACGTAAGTTGCTGGCCATCATGTTTTCTTTTATAACTTGAAAAAAAAAAAGATAATCCTTGGGATTTTAACATTCTTTGCTATATTTTCATTCAAACTGCATCATTCACAAAAAGCAACCTTACTGGAAACATTGAATGGTGTGGTCGTGTATCGACAGTGTGCATTGCGCACAACCATACTCAAGCACAGAGAGGGAAAGCCACTCAGTTCTTCAGTGGCGCGCCGTGATTGTATAGTGGTTAGTACTCTGCGTTGTGGCCGCAGCAACCTCGGTTCGAATCCGAGTCACGGCAGTTCCTCCTTCAATTTTTTTCTCGGCCTTCTGAAATGTCCCATTTAATAAATAGGATAGAACATATTAAAACTAACTTCATTCTTTGAGCCTGGCTAGGTGGCTCAGTGGCTTAAGGCGTTGAGCTTGTTGATTGGGAAGATCGGCAGTTTGGCAGTTCAAATCCGTAGTACAGGACTCCTGCGTGAGCAAGGGGTTGGACTAGATCAGCTGTCACCAACTGGTGGTCTGTGGACCACCAGTTGAGAAAATTTTGGCGATCCGCAGAAAAATTATTCGCATTTTTTTATATTGCACTAAATCAGGGGTCCTCAAACTACGGCCCTTGGGACGGATACGTGCAATGAACACTTGTGTTGCTGCAGAGAGTCTCCCCCTTCGGGGTCTTTTTGTGTGGGTCGGAGGGGGACAGAAATTCCAACTTGGGGTCTGCTTCGGCCTCCTGGTGTGGGGCTTTGGGCGAAGGCTGGAGGGAAGCGCCACTGGTGGCGAAGAGCCCGAGGGCCTTGTTCCAGTGGGACTGTCTCATGGCCTGGAACTGGCTGACCATCTCAGCCCGCTGAGCCTCCAGGTGCCGGTACCTGGCCTTGCACTCCCGCAGGTCTTCCCTCTGCTTGGAAATCCTATGCTCCTAGTCCTCAGGGAGGTGCTTCTACTGAGCCTCCTTCTCGGTCAGGTCCAATTTGAGCTGAGCCAGCTGTTTTGCCAACTCTTTCTCATGCTGGTTGCTCGAGCAGGGAGGCGAGGAGTGGGTGGGAGGGGAGGGGCGAGTAGACGCCGGCGAGGCGCCCCTCGACGTGAGTGACATCGAGTTGGCCACGCCCACCCAGTCACATGACCACCTACCCACGCCCACCCAGCCAGTCATTAAGCAGATCGTATGAGTGGTCCACGGGATTTAAAATTATGAATTTAGTGGTCCCTGAGGTCCGAAAGGTTGGGGACTCCTGGACTAGATGACCTCCAAGGTCCCTTCCAACTCTGTTACTGTTACCTAGGAATAACAGGCGTGTGTTGTGTGTCTCGATTTCCCTGGCAGGCATGTACGCAGCTATGCCGAGAGACATTTTACTTGTAATTGGGAATGAAATCATCGAAGCGCCGATGGCGTGGCGAGCCCGGTTCTTTGAATATAGAGCGTATCGCCGAGTCATTAAAGAGTATTTTCACCAGGGAGCCAAATGGACAACAGCACCGAAGCCCACGATGTCTGATGAGCTTTACGACCAGGTAGCATTTTCTGATTCTCCAAAATAATCAATAGAAGAGAATATTTGAACACTGGGGTCCTTGGGGCTCTGTAAACTTGGTTGTTTTCTTGCGGACGTTTCATTACCCGGCTAGGTAAGATCATCAATGCTAGAGAGTGGGGTTTGTGGAGTGGAGGAGGGGGGGAGGGGGGAGGAGGAGGAGGAGGACTAGGACTAGGGCTGTAGGATCTTTGATGCTTTCTGAAGTTGGTTGTTTTGCAGATATCTCATTACCTAACGAGGTAATATCATCAGTATTAAAAAGGAATGGGGTTTGTGGAGAGTAGTAGTAGTAGTAGTAGGACTGTGGGATCTTTGATGCTTTCTGAACTTGGTTGTTTTGCAGACATGTCATTACCCAACTAGGTAACATTATGAGTTGCTAGAAGGGAGTGGGGTTTGCGGAGTGGAGGAGGAGGGAAAGGGGAAAGAGGAAGAGGAGGAGGAGAACAACTATGAGGTCTTTGATGCTTTCTGAACTGGACTGTTTTCTTGCAGATGTTTCATTACCCAACTAGGTAACACAATCAGTGCTAGGAGAGAGTGGGGTTTATTTATATATAAGTGCTTTTTTCTCTTCTGGGCACTGCAATTTCCTTGCTGCAGCCCCTTAAGGCTGTGTATATTTTTTGCCTCCGTTGGGTCCCAAGGATCATGTGCTATGTCTGTCTTAAAAATTAGGATTATCCCATCCGCACCGTGGAGGACAGGCACAAGTTGGCTGCCCAGGGGAAATTTGTCACCACTGAATTTGAGCCGTGCTTTGATGCTGCAGACTTCATAAGAGCTGGGAGAGATATCTTTGTGCAAAGAAGTCAGGTAAGTCAATCCAGACCCCTCCCTCAAGTTTTCCTTAAATCTTATATATCTGTTGTGGCTCCGTTGCCTGAGCCTGGGCTATCGACAGATGCAGACTCTGAGAGTGAGGGAGAGGAGTTGGCAAGGCCTCCCTCTCCAGGACCCTCCTCTCTGGCAATGCCTCTGGAGGACACCGAAGGCCAAGAGATAGGCCCAGAGCCAAGCACGTCCCCGCAGGGGATAAGTGCTGGCTGGATCCTCGACAGCGGCGCAGGGAGAAGCGTGCGCAGCAGAGGGGAAGGCGTGCCAGAGATTAGCTGAGTCACTGGACCACACCCCACAGGGTATAAATGTGGGTGTGGTGGCCGGTTCAGTTTGTGACGAGCAAAAACTAGAAATAATCCATGATCTCTGCGTTACTGGACTTCTGCCTGCCTTGTCGGACTGCATTTGGACTAATCCTTGTTTTGCTGAAACTTTGCCTGCTTTATTGGAATGCTTGCAGTCTATTCTTTGTTTTGTGTGAGTAAAGTCTGAATTGGCAGCCAGCCACTGGGTTGCTGCCAGCTTTATCTTCAAAGACTTTGTCGTGTGGCTTATTAACTCCGGGCCGTCTGTGGGGGTGGGTGTGTGGGACGGGGACAGAACAATATCTATAAGTCAGGGGTGGGTTCTACTTACCTTTACTACCAGTTTGCAATGGGGTCGCGCGCACGTGCTTGCTTTGCTCGCTCGCACACGCACTCTTCTGTGCAAGCGCAGAAGCGTTTTGATTATGTCAGGGTCAGTGGACGGAGCTTCCTGCCGGTTTTACTACCGGTTTTATAGAACTGGTGCGAACCGGGGGCAACCCACCACTGCTATAAGTTCTATAAGTGTACGGTTATTTTTTTCTCCCTTTTTTTCAAAGTGTGTTAACAAGTTCAGCCAAACGAAAGCATGTGTGAACACACTAGTATAAATTAAAACAAGCTTTCCTGTCTAGGATGGAACTAGAACTCACTGTCTCCTGGTTTCTAAGCCAATGCCTTAACCGTTACACAAAATTCCTTTTCATCACACCTCACACCGTTACATTAAATTTGGTTTAAAGGTTGCATCCAGTGCTAGCTCTAAATAAATTGATCTTAATCTTGGCTAGTCATTGATACCCAGAAAAAAAAGAAATTGAACACTGAACTGGGATTATCACAGTAACAGGGCTGAAGTTACAAAATTTGGGAAAGTCCAAATGTCCACTTTGATTCGGATCATAGAGGGAGCTTTGCAGGGGTGGGCTTCAAAAATTTTAGCAAGGGGTTCTCTGCCCGGTTGCTGGGTGGGCATGGCCATGGTGGGCCTCCTGTACCATGGAGGGGTGGGCATTTTTGCCCTCCCTGGGCTCTGGAGGCTTTCTTCGAGCCTCTGGGAGGGCAAAAACGGCCTCCCCAGGCTCCAGAGGCCCTCTGGAGGCTGGAAACAGGCATGTTTCCAGCCCTCCTGAATTTCCAGTAGAAACCAGATGCATTTTTGCTTTCCTTTTCTCTGTTGTCGCAGGTTACAAATTTCATGGGCATTGAGTGGATGAGGAGACATCTTGCTCCAGACTATAGAGTCCATACTATCTCTTTCAAAGACCCAAACCCAATGCACATCGATGCTACTTTTAATATCATTGGCCCTGGGGTCGTGCTTTCTAATCCAGATCGCCCCTGTAACGAGGTAAGAGGGCTTCACAGAGGAATCGGGTACTTCAGATAGTCCTTGATTTATAATCTTTCTAACCATGCTAAGCAGTGGTGGAATTCAATTTTTTTTTTTTACTACCGGTTCTGTGGGCGTGGCTTGGCGGGCGTGGCAGGGGAAGGATACTGCAAAATCTCCATTCCCACCCCACTTCAAGAGAAGGATACTGCAAAATCTCCATTCCCACCCCACTCTGGGGCCAGCCAGAGGTGGTATTTGCCGGTTCCCAGAACTACTCAAAATTTCCGCTACCGGTTCTCCAAAACAGTTCTCAGAACCCCCGCCCCCCCTTCACACGATGACAAAAAGGTTAGCCATCACTCATCTATGCTACTAAAAAAAAAATCTTCCTTGCCTAATAGGTGAAATTATTCCATTGCATGAAATCATAATATAGCAGGATATATATATATATATATATATATATATATATATATATATATATATAATGTATATATATATATATATATATATGTATATATATATGTATTATATATATATGTATATATATATATATATATATATATATATATATATATATATATATATATATATATATGGGGGGGGATAGTACGGCTTGCTAGCCATGATTTATGGGTTACTGTGTTACGCAATATTTGTTCTTCAGCCTCCTTATCTCTACTTAATGCAATTAAAAGACTGAGGGTTGCATTTGAGGAGTCCAGCAATTTTCCCATTCTTGCTGCAGCTATAAAAAAGTGTCAACGGAGGGTCAGGTAAAGGTAAAGGTTCCCCTCGCACATATGTGCTAGTCGTTCCTGACCCTAGGGGGCGGTGCTCATCTCCGTTTCAAAACCAAAGAACTAGTGCTATCTGAAGATGTCTCTATGGTCATGTGGCCGGCATGTCTCAATACTAAAGGCGCATGGAACGCTGTTACCTTCCCATCAAAATGGTCCCTATGTTTCTACTTGCATTTTTTACGTGCTTTCGAACTGCTAGGTTGGCAGAAGCTGGGACAAGGAACGGGAGCTCACCCCGTAACGCGGCGCTAGGGATTCGAACCGCTGGAACTGCCGACCTTTCAATCGAGAAGCTCAGCATTTTAGTCACTGAGCCACCCCGCCCCTTTTCAACGGAGGGTAGATGGAAGCTAAACTTGGACTGTGAATGAAAAAGAAATGTAAAAACATTTAAAAACATACTGTCAGTTCTCCCAGGTAAACCAGACAGAGAACAGGAATAAATGAACTAATTCTTACTTTATTGTAAGGCTACATTAAGAAATTCTTACCGATCGAAAAGTACAACTTCCCACTGCCAGTCTTAAATGTTTGGATCCTTTAGGAAGGTGAATCCTTCCTAAGTTTCTCCCTCTGATCATTAAACCACTGGGGGCTCCTGCCTCTCTTATCTGTTTCCTAGGCAACAGCTCTTCCCTTCATTCCCCAAGGTCACCCCCACATTCCATTACATACATAGGCACGCAGGAAATCAGACTTTGCTAAAAAAAAGAAGAAGATATTAACACCAAACAAAATGCAAAGCAGTGGTGGTATTTAGCCGGTTTTATCCGGTTCGGGCGAATTGGTAGTGGCGGCTGTGGGAGGCTCTGCCTATCTGCCCGGATGTAACCACATCCTGTTTTTGATGCTCTGTACATGCGCGGAAGGCCCTGCGCAGGCGCGGAGGTGAGCACATGCAGGCGAAGGTCCTGCACACATGTGTGCGCTCACATTTGCAAACTTGTAGTGAAGGTATTATTATTATTATTATTATTATTATTATTATTATTATTATTATTAGTCATATTTCTATGCCACCCACTCTCCGAGGACTCTGGGCGGCTTACACCAAAGACAGTATACTAAATAGCATATTTCCCCCAACAATCTGGGTCCTCATTTTACCCACCTCGGAAGGATGGAAGGCTGAGTCAACCTTGAGCCGGTGAGATTTGATCCGCTGATCTGCTGAACTAGCAGTCAGCTGAAGTAGCTGCAGTACTGCACTCTAACCACTGCGCCACCTCGGCTCCTAAGTGAATACCACCCCTCATGCAAAGGTTGAAATTGGCATCGGAAGAGAAGCTTCTTCCATTATGATCCTATTCTTGGTTGCCGGGCAGATTAAACTGCTGATTCATCCATCGTTTTTATGTCACAGCAGAGAAACTAATAGACTTACTAGGAGTGCACAGCTGGAGAATCTACGCAGAAAACAATATGATTTCCCAGTGTGAAGCTGTCTCTCTTTTCTTCCCGACTCTCTTAGATTGATCTCTTCAAGAAGGCAGGCTGGACAATCATTCATCCACCGCTTCCTCTGATCCCTGACAGTAGGTTTGGCTTTGTTTCCATATGGACTTCCCATGACTTGGGAAGCCAATGTTCTATTGTGATGGTTGCACGGTGAGACACATCCATGAGTGCTCATGTTTTCATCTCTAGATCATCCGCTGTGGATGTCTTCCAAATGGCTTTCCATGAATGTCCTGATGCTGGATGAGAAACGTGTGATGGTAGATGCCAACGAAACCCCGATCCAGAAGCTCTTTGAAAGCCTAGGTAAGACCAATTTAGTTAGATGGGCCATAATTTCATGGAACAGTTATTTTCAGAGTTTGTGTCTGTAGAACACACATTTTCTTAAGGCAGAGATCGGCAATCTTAAACACTCAAAGAGCCACAAAGGTCCTAACCGAAAGCCCCCTGTTCAATTCTGGAGCCGACTGGAAAACCTGCCCCTTGCCAAAGAGTCTCCTCCTGGTGTGTTGTGCTTTCCACCCACCACCAGAAGCTCCTCTCAAAATTATGGCGCTGACCGGCGACAGGGAGCCACAGCAGAGGGATGAAAGAGCCACATGCGGCTCCAGAGCTGCGGGTTGCCGATCTCTGTCCTAAGGATAATTTAACCCAGATTACTCCAACTCAGTGTTTCTCCGACTCAGTGTTTCTCCAAGTAAGTGTCCTCCAGAAGCATTGGAATCTCTTCTAGATCCAAAATTCAAGCTGGAGTTTGGAAGTTCAACATCTTAGAAGGCCACCAAGTCAGCAAAAGCTGTTGCAGGCACAAAATGCTGAACTTTACTCCTGATCAGTCCTTTTGAGATCTGGAGATATGGCTGGCCTCCTTAACCTTCAAGATTTTTGCCTGCACTTCAAGGTTAAGAGAAGGCTAGATGTCCTTCACGTTTTAGAGAGATGTGAGGTCTCCCTCAAAGAGATACCACTTCATCTTTCTGATCAGCCCTGGAAAGAGGATGAAAGATGTAGGAGCCGTGGGGACACACTGGTTATAATGCGGTACCACAGTCTTAACTCACTGCTCGCTCCAGAAGTTCGATTCTGAGCCTCTCCAGGTTGACTCGGCCTTCCATCCTTCCCAGGTTGGTAAAACGAGGACTCAGATTGTTGGGGGCCAATACGCTGACTCTGTAAACCGCTTAGAGAGGGCAGTAAAGCGGTATATAAGTCTTAACTGCTATTGCTATGACTCCTCCCTGATTGGACAGACATTGGGGCGGGCGGCATGGGATTTGAGACCTTCATAGAGTCTTCTAATTCAAGGTTTACATGCAATATCATAATTAGAAAACCTATTGCTTTTGGCAGTGTATGCCCATGTTTGACTTCTCATTCATTCCATGGGGGGAGGTGGGGAAATTACCTTCGAGAAATTGCCTTCTCTTCTTTTGCCTGCAGGCATTTCAACCATCAAAGTGAACATCCGCCACGCCAATTCTTTGGGAGGAGGCTTCCACTGCTGGACCTGTGACATACGTCGCCGTGGGACCTTGAAGTCTTATTTTGATTAGCAGGAGGTCTGTCTGAAGCACAGGCCACCATCCAATGGGAATGCATGTGTCATAAGATGAAGAGGTTAGCTTCCCCCGGGGCTCCTTAAAATAATAATAATAATAATAATAATAATAATAATAATAATAATAATAATACCAATGTAGATGCATGAGTTGCTGTGCTTTGAATCAGGTTCCTCCTCTTCCTAACTTGTGGTTCCCGTCCCTGATCCCCAGGGCAGGAGAGTGCACCCTAAGGGTCTATTCACACATTATGAACAAGGAACGGGGGCCATAGGTAATTAGTGCTCCTTGATAAATGGTTGGCATTTGAGAGATTGCTTCCATTATTTGGGCAGGTATTCTTTGATTGACACATCCGAGCGGACACTGGGACTATTTATAGAGAAGCGAGGTTCGTGTTTTTGAGTTAGCTTACTACAAGCTGATAGGGCTGCAGCCAGTGGTGAAATTCAATTTTTTTTTAGTACCGGTTCTGTAGTGGGCGTGGCTTGGTGGGCGTGGCAGAGGAAGGATATTGCAAAATCCCCATTCCCACCCCACTCCTGGGGGGAAGGATACTGCAAAATCCCCATTCCCTCCCCACTCCTGGGGGGAAGGATACTGCAAAATCCCCATTCCCACCCCACTCCAGGGGAAAGATATTGCAAAATCTCCATTTCCATCCCACTCCAGGGGAAGGATACTGCAAAATCCCCATTCCCACCCCACTCCTGGGGGAAGGATACTGCAAAATCCCCATTCCCACCCCACTCTGGGGCAAGCCAGAGGTAGTATTTGCCGGTTCTCCAAACTACTCAAAATTTCCGCTACCGGTTCTCCAGAATCTGTCAGAACCTGCTGGATTTCACCCCCTGGCTGCAGCCTTATTCACAAAATTGACCTGTTTACATGGTCTTATTACATGCCTACACAGATAACATGCCATCAGTGAAGATGGGGGGTGGTGGTGGAAACCCCTTCTGATCACATGCAATGTTGAATAGTCTTGGCTCATCAAGACTTTAGACATGTAGGCCTTGATAGCTCAAGCAAGAAGAAGCACAGGACATCAGCGCCCTTAAAGAGTTGTGATGGGGTTCTGCTAAAGCCCCATAGGCTCAACATTTCAGGACCAAGGAGAGTAAGTTTATGCAGGTGGTCCTTGCCTTATGAAAACAATTGGTACTGCAACTTCCGTTGCTAAACGATACAGTCCTTTAGTGAGCCACATCCGATTTTACAATCTTTTTTTTTTTTTTGTCATGGTTGCTAGGTGAATTTGCATGGTCATGAAGCCAATCTGGCTTCCGCCCATTGACTTTGTTTGTTGGAAGCCTCTCGTAAATCCCATTGAAAGCAATATAAAGGTCCTATGGTCTTAGAATGTGCAAGGCCCTTTCTGAAATCATATGTGGTGAACGGGTCCTTAGACCACAGAGGCCCATTCTGCTATCTCAGCAGTGAAGGGGATCTTCCAGCTGGCATTTTGGACAACATCTGGACTCTCCCTGTTTTTTTTAATCTTCACTCCAAGACTATACAAACTTTTGGGATAATCTACTAGATTCCTGAGTTTTCATGGTTGACATTACAAATCTACCTCTGCTTAAACCTCTTACAGGAAGGCAGCTAGAAAGATTAAACTTCACTGAATGTGAATCTTTCCGTTCCCGTTTAATGATCTTTTTAAGATCTGAAGACCACACAAATGTGAAATTTAAGGCAAGACAGAACAAACAGTGATGGGCCCAGATTTCTACTACTTTTGTATTTTACACTATTTAGGTTAAGCTAAGTTTTTTTTTTTTTTTTTTACAAACTGCATCCTTATGCAGACGTTACTTAAATTACACCAGGCTTGTGAACTGGTGACCTTTATAAACCTTGCTAGACCCAATGATTGTATTAGACTACAATCCCCACTACTTCCAGCCAAAGTTAGAACCATTTATCAATGGAAGTTGTGGATGCTCCAAAACCAGAGGTTTTTAAGAAGAGATTGGGCAACCATTTGTCTGAAATGGTACAGGTTCCAGCTGAGCAGGGGGTTGGACTAGAAGACCTCCAAGATCCCTTCCAACTCTCTTATTCTGTTTTTTTTTAAAATTTGATTTATATGCCGCCCTTCTCCGGAGACTCAGGGCGGCTTACAGTGCGTTAAGCAATAGCCTTCATATTTTTGTATATTTTATACAAAGTCAGCTTATTGCCCCCACAAACTGGGTCCTCAATTTACCTACCTTAGAAAGGATGGAAGGCTGAGTCAACCTTGAGCCTGGCGAGATTCGAACTTACTTTAATTGCAGACAGTTGGTGTTAAATTACAGTGCTTTTAGTCTGCAGAGCTATCCAGGCTCCTGTTTTTCGGTTAATGTCCAATTGCTGTACCTTGATGAGAAATTATACATGGTTAGTGAAGGTCAGATTTGGGCTTGTTAGTAGTAAAGTGAAAATTACTCATGTTCTGGATATCAGATGCATAGAGCTGTCCCCGTCCCCTCCAAGAATGAGTGGTTACTAGATGGATCAAAAGAGAAATTTGCATTGCTGGACAAGGAAAATATTTGTCCTAGAAATGTATGGTTTATCTGTTCCCCAATTTAAGTAATCCCACTTAGACGCTTCAGAAGAATGATATCCACTGCTATATATTAGGTCCCTAAATGCCTCCGTTTAATTTCCTTCTTCCCAAATCTTTGATTAGATGCCTCTAGTCTGAAAAGGCATTTTTCCCCAATGTACCTCCAGTCTTTGAGTATTTTGTACACATTTGTTTCAGTCTTTCCTTGATGGGTGCCAATCTAATGCAGGATGTTTGGCAGGATCTGTTTACATAAATCAAATGTACTTAATAATTTTCAGCAGAAAGCGTATGATTAACCCAATGCTACCTAAAAGCGTTTTCTCTATGTATTTTATGCCAATAAAACACATTTGCACTCATGCAGTTTTATTTATTTATTTATTTATTATATTTCTATACCACCTTTCTCCCATAGGACTCAAGGCGGTGTACAGTCAAGAAAAATATAGATACACAAAACATCATAAAATTGCTAATTAAAAGTATTATTATAACATAGTTTGGCCCAATTAAATAGAACCTAAAATTAGATAACATTTTAAAAACATTCACATGTTCATATGTTTAGCCCCGCTTGTTGGAACATCAGGGTTTTGAGGGCACGGCGGAAAGCACGGAGATCAGGGATATTTCGTATCTCAGGGGGCAGTTCATTCCAAAGGGGTGGAGCCCTCACAGAGAAGGCCCTCCCCCTGGGAGTCGCCAGTTGGCATAATTTGACTGACGGTACCCTGAGTTTTGAGATTGTTTCTTTTGTATGCTACCAGATTGTATAATGGGCAGGCTGATTTTTGCTTCCTGGGCAAAATTTTTTGACTGTGTTTTACTGGAGCTCAGAGGCTGAACAACTCCTTTGCCATGTCTTTGCATGTGGCGGACCTCAAATTTAACATCTGGCACTGTGATGGGTTTCACTTACTTTTGCTACTGGTTCATGCCTGCACCACTTCTGTGCGTGCGCAGAGCATATTTGATGACGTCCAGGCAAGTGGGCGGAACCTCCCGCCACCGCTGCTACCGGTTCGCCCAAACTGGGGCGAACCGGTAGCAACCCACCACTGATCTGGCGTATCAGAGTAAGACTGGAAAAGAACTTTACACGTAGTCCTTATTTAGCAACCAGGCTTTGGACCAGCAACTGCTATCACGAAGTGTGAAATTGTGTGATTGCAACTGGGCTTCCTGCTGATATGTGACAAAACTAATCACTTTCATACTTTCCACTATCCAACCCTTTGCAATGTTCATCCCAATGGTGGGATAATTGGCAAGTTGAAATTAATGTATGCATTTACATTGGAGAGGAAGGGATTATAAGAGAGTAAATAGGCATGCATGGGGAATACACATTGAAAGTGTGAATCTGACTGTTCTCTCCCTACTTTATTCTAAAGTTAGCAAGTTGGAATTAATGTATGTATTTACATTGGAGAAGAGGGGATTATAAGAGAGTAAACAGGCATGCATGGGGAATACATATTGAAAGTGTGACTCTGACTGTTCTCTCCCTACTTTGGTCTAAAACCTTTTTTTCTTGGCCTGGGGTGGAATCTCACCTGGTGGTAAAAGTTTGGATTCCCCCTGGAGATGCCCTTGCTAGTGGGTATTTGCTTTTCTTTTTTGGTCGCGTTTTGACTTCTTTTGCAAAGTTGCACCCCGGGGAAAAAGAAACAGGCCGAAATTGCACTAGAGGGCAGTGTGGTAGCGCCAAATGTTGCAAGAACATCCCGTCATTTTCGTTGTTCAACGTTTCAAACTGCCTTTTGATTTACAAAGCGAATCTTCTCGAGTCACATCACAAATTAGAAGATTTAAGAAGATAAACGACAACTCGAGTGCAGGAAAAATGTGCCAAGGCAACGCAAGTTCTTGTGGTTAATTAACTAGCCACATTTCCATCCTGTCCCACTCTTAACGTGGAGACAAGGGGGTGTATTGTGGGCTCAGCCGAGCCATCTCAAAAGACAAAGAGGCAATGCAGTGCAACCCAAAGCAAGAAGAAGGCCATCGTGCTCTTTACCCACTAGGCATCACAATCCTCAAAGGCCCATTAAAAAAAAAGGAGATTTAGGTCAGGATGGATGGAACCTCTTATGGGAAGGATTTGTGTCTCTCTTTTTTTTTTCCTCAAGCAATTGGATCCCATCTTGTTTTCTTCTGTATTGTGTTTTTTTATTCCTTGTTGTATTGTGAAGTTACCCAGAGCTGCTTTGGTGGCGAGCAGCATCTGAAACAAACAAGCAATAAATATGATTTGCAAAAGCTTGAACAGGGCTAAGCAAATCTTCAGGGAAACTGTTTCACATTATTGATTAAACTGTTAAAATGTAAAATACCGGAAGCAAAGACTTAGCTTCAGCTGTAGAATTTTTTTAAAAAGCTACACAGTTGGGCCAGATGAGCCTCCTTAGGGAGGGGCAGTCTATCAGCAGGGGTCTCAATCAGTAGGGTTGCTCTTCTCTGTAGACACTCACTCAACATTATCCTACTGATTGGGGCTTTGTTGCCTACATAGCTACTTAGGAGAGGTGTTGATTAATATATTTTCAGACTCACTTTTCTTCTACAGATGCTTCTACCAAGCGATCCCCAATGAGGAAAAATAAGCATTATGCCTGGGAAATAAACACAGTTTTTCGTAAATGTGGTCAGGAGCATTTGATTGAACGCTGTCTCCCTCAGTCCTTTGCACGAAAACAAGCAGGCTCAATTCCGTAAGTTCTTAAATAAAACACACTTGTTTTTATTTGTGCCTTAAATAAAACAATTTTGCACGCTCCCTTGAGAAAGGATGCTTCTATTTTACGATCGGCGGTGTTAGCCAAATCTCCGATGATGCGAGCACTGTTTTCTTCCATTCCTTATAAAGAGCTTAGGATCCACATTTTTAATTTGGTCACCAATTCCCTACTGGGTTCATTCATTCTGGGAAGGAAGAAGGCAGCCAGCCAACCTGAAATTTCGAATTGCTTTGTGTTGTTGAGAACTGGTTTATTTTGGTTCTTTTTCAAGGTCAGCGGCCGTAGCTGCTTTTCAGAGAGCTGGCTTTATGAATTAATCGACAATCTTGCTCCATTGCAAAGTGGTGAGAGTCCAACGACTTATCGCAGTGATGGTTAACCTTTTTGGTGCCGAGTGCCGATAGGGTTGCCAGGTCTGCTTCAAAAAAAAAGCGGAAAAGCGGGGGGGGGGGGGGGGGAGGATTAAGTAGTAAAAAAATAAAAAAAAATTACAATTAAATTATATATTTTCTTACAAACATTTTAAGACGTATTAAAATAATCACTTCAAAACTTTACTTAAAATTCAAAACATCAAATATAATAATATGTAAAATATTAAATTACATTTTACTTTGCTGTCGTGTGTATTTTTTATTTGACTGCACAGCTTTGATCAATTCTTTGTGTTTAAGGAATAATTCTTTAATTTCAGTACAACGTTGAGAAATATTAAAAAATATACAAAGTTCACTTCAAACTGATGCAAGCAGTCGGTTACGTTCGTCAGTCCACAAATTTCCCATGAGGCTGAAAATTCGTTCAACTTTTGCATTTGATACCGGAATTGATGCACAATACTGGAACAGTTTCAGTAAACTCAGAGCTGGCTCTTTCTTGAAAAAGTATGTCCACTTATCAAGGGATGAATTGCCTTGCAGATGAACATAAACTTCTTCTAAGGCAGAAATTTCATCAAAGAGAGTGTTGGGTGGAAGTTCTTCTCTCCATGGTGATAATAACCAGATGTTCGTCATTTCTTCTAAAGTTGGAGGATTATTGCGATCAATTAGATTGAAATAACTTAGCGTCTCATATACTGAATCAATGAAATTATACCACTTTTCTAGGTATGCAATGGCTCTTTGATACACGTTGATGGCTTCTTTCTTGAACTTTTGCACGGCATTCTCAGGCAAATGTTTTTTACGTAAGGCAAGTAAAACTTTCATTCCAAAAAACTGCTCATCGTATTTTTTTTGCAAAGAATCACGCAGCTTACACATGATAATGTGAAGATCACATGCAAGAATTTTCTTGCTTTCCAGCTTCAGTAGGGTGTCTTGCATTATTGACATGAAGAAGTGCGTGAAATATAAATACAATTCTGAAATTGTTGGTTCATCGTCCTTTGCGAGTTCATTTTCCTGATCCAAAATAAGGTTCCAGATAACCTTATGGCACTCATCAGATCCAAGAGAAATAAAATACAATTTTAGAGGTATCCAGTTTAAAAGAAGTCTTTCGACCGCTTTAAACAAACTTAACCAACGTGTTGGAACATGGCGCAAAACTTCATGGAATTCTGACTCGCGAAACTCAAAAAATTATTGACAAAGGGTAGGGGCAGGAAGATGGGAGCTGCTTCAAAATATGCTTATCCATTTCTCATCCAGGGAAATATAATATTCTGCCTTTTTCATATTTCCCAAAATATTTCACTCTTCCAGGAAAGGGGTGGGTGCTAACTTCCTACAGTATTAATGTTAATATTACTATATTGTAATATTATTAATGTGATGGTGATGAACATAATTGTACCCAGAACACACACTGTTCGATGAAAAGGGAATGTTATATCAATAAAACAAATAAAACTTGAAAGAAAGGAAAAAAAAAAAGATCTTCACTTCGGGAGACATCCAGAACATAGAAACGACTGCTCTTCGTGACTCTTTGGCTCTGCTCAACCATCCTTACAAATTCTTCAGACATCACTGATTGCCCCAATTCAAGGCCAGGTCTTGCTGCCCTGCTGCTCGGAAGCCGGTGTTCCTCAGAACCAGCGGAGGCTACAAAATGGAAAAAAAAAAAAAGTTGGCCAAAGTTTCAGCCAGCTAACCTTTTTTTTTTCCATAATAACTCTGTTGTCCCCAGTGGCTATCAGCTTCTTGCCTCAAGATGTGGGAGGCTATTTTGGCGGGGCAGGGAAAGACGGTAACACAACGTCCCATCCTCTCTCTCTCTGTCTCCCAGTCGCCCCATATTATCTCTGCAGGTGCCCTGGATGTGAGGGGCAGGGGAAAGCTGCTTTCTACCCTAGGAAGTCCTCATGGAATGGAGGGCACGGGGAGGGGGGGGAGAGAATGGAGAGTCTCCTCCTTAGCCCCATTCTTAAGTCAAAAACTGGAGTGGCAATAGGACAACTATTGTTGGGACAATTTAATTATTTTAGACCCCGGAGTTCATTATTTCTTGTGGGAGAGGGCTCTTTACATAGCCAGATGTATGACTTCAGTTCTAGAATTGCAAGTAACTTATCTCTTTCCCTCCATTTTCCCTCCCCCCTCCCTCCCACTCGTTCTCTTTCTCTCTCTCCCCCTCTCTCTCCCTCTCTCTCTTTCTCTTCTCTCTCTTCA